AATAAAATAAAATAAAATAAAATAAAATAAAATAAAATAAAATAAAAAATCTTTAAAGAGGAAGAAATAAGAGGGTCACAGAAGTCAAGTCACTGTGTCCAAGGTCACAGAACAAAGAAGTTATACCCAAACCTGCCTCACTCCAGAGCCCACATTCAATGTTTTCTCTCCAGGATGAGAAGCCCCCGGCCTGTCTATCTTCATTCACTGAACAAATGTCATACTTATTGATTACCTGGTACTATATGTCAGGTACTATACTAGGTTCTGGGATACCCTAGCGAATAAGAAAACAGGTCCCTGCTCTCATGGAACTGACATTTTGGCTGGAGGACAGAAGCTGTAGCCTAGTAACAGTTGGATAGACCATGTAATTTTGGGCAGGGGCAAGTAAGTGACCACCCCCTGAACGGACAAGGAACAGCTTGCGCTTAGAGGACAGGCTTCAGTCAAGACTCCAAGCCAGGACATTCAGTTACAAGCATTTATTGAGCACTGGGATAAGTGCTGGGGATACTGTGTTGAGCTAAAACAGATGTATCCTCTTCTCTCTGCAGCACATATGTTCCCTCCCAGTTGTACTGGGCCAGGTGAATGGTCCTGCCCTGTCTCAGTTCCTTGTGTTTCTGGTAGAATCTATTTCCTGGATCCTTGGCACCAGGGCTGGGTCCTGTCTCTTCTTGGCAGAGCTGTAGGGGAATGGGGGCCTCTGGAAGGGGCAGGGTGTCCTATCTTTGTGTGTCTTAGCTTCCCTGAGGAGGAATGATCCACGAGTCACTGCTTCACCAGGCTCCTGGGGCCGGGGTTTGGCTGGGGAGGGTGTGGATACCAGCTAGGCTTATGTTTGGAGTCTCAAGAATGCTGACCACAGGGCCATCAGCTCTCAGGCCACTGCCTTTGGATAGCCCCACCCTGCCTGGTCGGGTGACTCAGACAGAAATCAGAGCAGGGAGGAGGCCTCAGAGCTGGGCTATTTACGGCCACACTCTGGGGCCCCCTGAACCCCACCCCCCGCTCTGGGACAAGCCAGTTGGTTCGTGAAACCCAAGCCCTGTTTTGGGCACCAGCTGGTGTGCTGTCCATTTATAGTATGTTTCTGCGGGAAAGGAGAAGGAGGACCCAGTTGTGGGACGGCCTGGGTGAGCAGGGGCTCTAAGTAGTTTCTCTGGCTTCGAAGTTGACAAATGTTCATTTGCTGAGCATGTAGCATGGGAGATCCCTGCTGGATTCCGGGGACACAGAGATGAATCAGATGAGGTCCCTGCCCTCACAGTGCTCCCAGCCTGGTGGGGGACACAGACTCCCACACAGACACATAGGGAAGTGGGGTCTAGGGGACCACAGAAGTGATGGATGTAGTGGATCCAGAGTGGGCATCTGGGAAGGCTTCCTAGAGAGGTGATGGAACTGGGCTGGGCTGTGGCACCTCCTCCCTCCTGAATGAACCCGTCCTGCCCTTGCATTCGTTTCTCCATTTACAGAGCACTGACTCTGGGTTCAAATCAAGTCCAGTTTCTGTCCTAGAGGAGCTCCCATTTTGGTGAGAGAGCCCCAACACACGAAATCACAGCAGAGTTCTAAGAAGGGCAGGGGTGGCTCATAGGTAAGAAAGTCATATTTCTTGAGTCCCTTACCTGTGCCACATGTTTTGTATCATCTTATTTAATTCTAACATCTTTCTGAGGTAGACATTGTTATTCCTCTTTTAATCAACTTGCAGAATGAGGCCCAGACAGGTGAATTTCCTTGTCCGTGGTCACAGAGCTAGATAGTGCTGGAGCTGGAATGCAAATCCAAGAGTGCCTGTCTCTAAATTATGTACTGAGGTGCCTGGGTGGCTCAGTCCACTGGGTGTCTGACTCTTGATTTCAGCTCAGGTCATGATCTCCCAGGGTCGTGAGATCGAGCCCTCTGTTAGTCTCCATGCTCAGCACAGAGTCTGCTTGAGATTCTTTCTCTTTCTCCCTCAGCCCCTCCCTGCTATCGAGCACACACACACTCTTTCTCAAATAAATAAATAGAAATCGTTAAAAAAAATAAGCTATGTGCTAAGGGTATTCTGTGCAGCGGGAACTGCATTTTCAAAGGTATACAAGTTTGGAAATTCATACAGCTTCTGAGAGCTCTGAAGAGGCCAGGATGATCAGACTAGAGGGTGAGATTAGGGGTGTGGCAGGAGATGAAGCCAGAGAGGTAGGCAGGGCTCAGGTCCTGGAGAGCCTTGGATTTTGATGAAAGGTGCAGGGGAGCCAGAGCAGAACTTTGTGCAGGGGAAGGGTGTGGCTAGTGACAGTAGGGGTATGTATCAGTTGTATCCCCCCTCCCCATACAGGGTGAGGCGTGGGGAGGCTGTATTAATCAGGATGCTTTTGTCTGTAAGTAATAGGAACTCAGTTTAAAGGGGTTTAGACATGGAAGGAAATGAGTTTTTTCCCAGAATACCTAAAAGCAGCATGGCTACAGGGTAGATTAGTTTAAGGCTTCAACATCCTCAATGTGTGGACCCCAATCCTTGTGCTCAAAAAGTGACTATCGTTATTCTAGGACCAACTCCCCTCCCAGCAACTTGTAAAGGCTTAGAGAGAGGAGAGAAAGGGAAGGGAGTGTACTTTCCCTCACTTCTCATTGGCCAGAATTGTATCATCTGCCCCTTTCTGAACCAATCACAAGCAAGAGGGATGGAAAGATCAGGATTAGCTTTGACCAATCATGGTTTTCTTCCTTGTTTGGGAAGAAGCCCAGCCAGTAGGGCTCAGGATTCTGTTAGCAAAGAGAAAAGGGGGGAATGGTTTGGCTATCATTTAGGCTGTGATGTGGCCCACCTCCATTGCCCCTTGAGACATAATCCAGTAGTCAGTCCTGGGATAAGTCACTGCTGTAATGATGAGGATGAGTCATTGAGTCATTTTTAGTCCTAGTTCCCAAACTTCAGACCTAGGCTTAATTCTTTTAAGAAAACCTGCTCTTGTTTTCAACTTAATTGCTCTTCCAACCCTAGTAGGGTTTATTACTCCCTCTTGCTTTCACTGCTGTTTGCCTTGGATCCTGTCTAAGCCTGAGAGACAGTCTCCTGTGATAGAAATAGCTTCTTATCTGGCTTTTCCAGGGAGCTGGGCCAGTAACTGCTTCCTCACCCCTTCCTGGCTGGTCTGCTCATAGGCAGAGCATACTGGCAAGGCTTTGACTCCAGAAGTCAGATGGTTAGCAAGGCAGATGGCCATGAGGGCATGGTAGTTAAGGGGAGAGAATGGGAGGCTGCCCAAGGATTAGCAGGCATAGGCACCCCTTAGTAGAGCAGCAGAGGGGACAACCTAGCTAGGGGAAGAGAGACCAGTACTTGGGCAAGTCTTTTAACCACTTTGATATACACATTGTCTTCCTAGTATCTGATTTTAGGGATGAGGAGACTGCTGCTCATCAGAATTGGGAACAGTCCGGACGCCAGGGCAAATGTGGCAGACACTGTTGGTTGCCTGCTTTCCAACTATTTCCCCTTCTTCGTTGCTAACCGAATCCTGATTTTATTGGGTGGAAATAGGGTCTGAGTCATAACTGTTCCCTTTTACTAATAATTGTGCTAGAAGTGGGCATGGAGCCCAGTCAGGCCAATGAGATATAAGTCTTCCTGGGAATATTTACTTCTCTGATAAGGAGTTGTGAGGAGAAAGCCCTTTTTCTGCCTATCACCCCCCTGCTTTGGGTTTTGTCGTGTAAGGAATGATTGGCTTGAGCTATGGCAGCCATCTTGTGGTCATGAGGGGAAGGCCAAGAGAATGGCAGAGAGGCCTACCCTGAATTCAATGTCATTGAGTCACTGAACCAATCCTAAAATTGCCTTCCTCTAGACTCCTTTTTCATTTTAAAAGATTTTATCTATTTGTTTGAGAGAGAGAGAGAGCAAGCATGAGCAGGGGGCAGGGGCAGAGGGAGAGGGAGAAGCAGAGTCCCCACCGAACAGGGAGCCCGATGCGGGACTCAATCCCAGGACCCTGGGATCATGACCCGAGCAGAAGGCAGACACTTCACTGACTGAGCCACCCCAGGCGCCCTAGACTGCTTTTTTAAATAGCATTTTATTATTTTATTTTATTTAAAAAATTTTTTTATAGGCTCCATGCCCAACGTGGGGCTCAAACTCATGACCCTGAGATCAAGAGTCTCATGCTCTACCAACTGAGCCAGCCAGGCACCTCTAATAAATATAGCAAGAATGACCAAAATATTTTATTACCAATCAGCCTTAATGGATGGGCAATGTCTCCCATAGAACACTATGATTGATTTATGATGTCTTCCATGAGCAAGGGATAAAGAAGTGGTAGCTCAAGTGTATATGTTTACCATCGCAGATCTACTAAGGCCAGTCCAATACCTGGCACAAAGTAGGTAGTCAAGAAAACTGACTTGTTTCTGAATCTCTACTCCTATCAGGTTCTTCTCAGATCAACCTTGTCATCATATTGCCTTTCACTTCTAGCTGCCTTTGTTAGTGAGATCTTCCTTTTCTAAGAAGGCATGGGTCCAGGCCCCCCTCAAGACTGTTTTGGTTGCAAATATCATAACTCCCATTGGGATGGTAGTTCGACTTTCTAAAGGACTAGTATCAGAAACTGGAGCATTAGCAGGTGATTGGCAGGGTCTTCCCTCTGTCTCTCAACATGCATCTCCATTAATTCTCTCTACAAACCAGCTTTCTCCTCTACTCTGTCCCCACAGCAGAAGGTGGTTGCCCCCATAGCATTCATGTTTGTTCAAGACACCATCTAGAATCTCTCCCAGTCTCAATTTGGGTAGCCTAGTCTGGGTCAGGTGTTCACCTTGGTCTAGCTAGCATAACCAGAAGGGCAGGATCACATATCAGAACATGAATTTATGGGTCAGTTGGGCAGAGAAGTAGATCTGGGCTGTTATTCTAGAACTCTATTTTCCAGTGTGGTCACCAGTAGCTCCAAATGACTATTTGAATTTAATTTTAAAAAATTAATTAAGATTAAATAAAAATAAAAATTCAGTTCCTCATTTGTACTAGCTACATTTCAAGTGCTCAATAGCCACATGTGGTGAGTGGCTACTATATTGGACAGCGTATATATGGAACATTTACATAAGCACAGAAAACTCTGTTGGACAGTGCTATTCTAGAAGGTGTCCACTATACTTACTCAATGATGTTTGGTCAGAGCTAAGAGTACCTATATTGGTTAGGGTACAAGCTATGCTGCTATAACAGGAGACCCATAAAATACTGTGACTTAAATATAATAGAAGTCCTGGGGCACCTGGGTGGCTCAGTTGGTTGAACATCTGACTTTTATTTTTTTATTTTATTTTATTTTATTTTATTTTATTTTTTAAAGATTTTATTTATTTAATTGACAGAGAGAGAGAGACAGCGAGAGAGGGAACACAAGCAGGGGGAGTGGGAGAGGGAGAAGCAGGCTTCCCGCTGAGCAGGGAGCCCGATGTGGGGCTCGATCCCAGGACCCTGGGATCATGACCTGAGCCGAAGGCAGTCGCTTAACCAACTGAGCCACCCAGGCGCCCCGAACATTTGACTTTTAGTTTTGGCTCAGGTCATGATCATCCTGGGATCGAGTCCCACATAGGGCTCTGCACTCAGAGCATAGTCTACTTGTTCCTCTCCCTTCTCCTCTGCTACCCCCCTGCTCGTGTGCTCTCTCTCTCTCAAATATTACATAAAAATCTTTAAAAAAATCTTTTATAAATATATAATAGAAATCCTTGCTTTCTTAGGTAACAGAACAAGTCTGACACGGCATCTCCAGAGTGTCAGCATCCATTTATTTCTGTTTTGTTGGTCAGCCTTCCTTAGACTGTGGCTCATGTCCTCACGGTCAAGATGGTGCTTCACCAGTCTATGTTCCAGCCAGCTCAACCGTGTCAGGGGAAAAGAGGAGGAAAGGAAGGACATGCCTCTTTCTTTAATAGGCAGAACTTGGTAGCAGCACACATCTTTTCTGCTCTCATCCTATTGGCCAGACTTGGTCATGTAAGCACTTGGAAAAGGAAGTCTCATGCTGGAGGGCGATCTCTATATTGGAGGATAATTGGCAGCTGGTCCCCTAGGACTACCTCATTCCATGCCTCCTCTATGCAGATGAGCAGGCTGAAGAAATAGAGGCAAACAATGGGCCCGTGGAAGAGCAGTCACACCTCCTGACTCCTGTCTCAGTGCTCTTTCATTGCCATGTTGGGCCTGTTGTCCATTCCCTGTAAGCAGCCATCCCAGAGGCCCAAACACTTCTACTTACTTGGTTAGAACTTAGTCATGTGGCCACACCTAGCTGCAAAGGAGACTGGAAAGTGTGGTTTTTCTTCCAGGCGGCATGGACATGGGTTGGTCTATAAACCAGGGGAAACAGGAGAGCATGGATGTCGGCATGCATCCAGTATTTTCTACTACACTGCCCTGTCAGAGACTTTAATCTAGAGGAGGATAGTGATATGGGACATAAATTAAACTCTTATGAATTAGTGACAATTGTGGTGTGTGTTATGTGGGAGCCCATGTCACAACAATGTAACTGCTGACCTGTCCTCTGACCAGTCAAATATATGAAGGAGGTCTCACCGTATTTCAAGAACTCTGCCAGCGGGACCTCGGTTGGCCGGGATTCGCCTCCTGCTTCACCCCTTCAGCGACAGCCATCTTCCCCTGGCCCCCCTCCCCGGGACCTCAGTGAAGCCAAACACATGTCCTTGAAGATGGCATATGTCTCGAGGAGGTGCACCCCCAGTGACCCGGAGCCCAGGTAAGTCTGGGGTGGGGGGCAACTCAGACAGATACACCTTGGTGGCAAGTGGTGGGGCCAAAGGAAAGATAGCCCAGTATTGCGAGTGACCAGAACAATGTCTGAACATAGTAGGGCTTAAGAAATGTTTGTTGAATGGATGTAAGAGTGAAGAGGATGATGGTATGCTTGGCTTCTCTCTTTTTTCCTCTGAGCAGTTCACATCTGAGGAGGAGTTTGGTCTGTGGAAGAGCCCTGGGTTCCAGTCCTGGTTCTCCTTGAACTAGTCCCTCCTCCTCCCTGACCTTTAGATTCCTCCCTGGGAAATAAAGTTTCCAGAATCAGTGATCCCCTCAAGTCTCTTCTAGCTCTGCCGAGGTTCTTAGACATCTAGCAACATTCGTGTCAGGGCCGTGGAAAGTTACCATCCTTCACACATGAGCAGCCCTTAACAGCTCACTGATGATAAGATTGGTAACAGCCAACAGTATGGAATGTTTACTAAGCACAGTTTAATTTAACTCTCGCAGCGACCCTATGAGCAAAGTCCTATTATTTCACCCCCACTTCGTAGATGAGGACAGAGAGAGGAAGTAACCTGCCCAAGATCACACACCCAGGAAGGGATGGAACTTGCCTCATTCCAGGTAGCCCTCTGCTTTAGAAACTATAGGTGCCTGAGTGAGGGTGGTGGTTGAATGGAGTATATGTTGATCAAGTGGGGTATGCAGTTATCTGGGGTGGTGTATACGTAGCATGAGCATAAAAGGCTTGTGCTGTGGGTCCTAGTTCCAGCTGAGGTTCAATGCCAGGCGGATGCCCAACATTGGCCTGGAGGCTCAGCATCCAGATCTACTAACCCTAACCCTAGCCCTACTTGATGCCCCGGCCCCAGCCTGCCCACATGAGGCAAGAACTGGTGACTCACAGGTCATTTAAGGTGTTCCACCAAAGGGGCCATTTGTGTTGGGTGAAGGTAAGGTGGAATTAGTTCTTCCTGAGACTTACCAAACATTAGGTTAATCATGGTTGCCAGCCTGATCCCAGACATCACCTAAAGCATGTGTGTACATGTATTTCTATGTGTACACGTGGAACTGACATGTAAATTCAAGTGTTTGTGTGTATATGTGAACATTTGCATGGGTATGGGCATAGATTTGTGCATATGTGTTTGTGTATGTTTATGTTAATATTACATGTGTATATGCATGTCTGCGTGTGCTTGACCATGTGCACATGTGTAACACAGGTAACTCAGATATAACTGTGGTTCCTGTTTTTTTTTAAGATTTATTTATTTATTTGAGAGAGAGAATGAGAGAGAGAGAGCATGAGAGGGGGAGGGTCAGAGGGAGAAGCAGACTCCCTGCTGAGCAGGGAGCCCAGTGTGGGCCTCGATCCCGGGACTCCAGGATCATGACCTGAGCTGAAGGCAGTCGCTTAACCATCTGAGCCACCCAGGCGCCCATAACTGTGGTTCCTTATCAGCACTAAATATCCCAGTCAAAGGAACATAATCTGGTAACCAAAATATAATGAAAAATATTTCACACTTTTACTAAGTGTTAGGATTACGTTGGGCTGCAAGTATCAGAAATGCCAATAAGCCATGGCTAAGAAAGAGGAGGGATTTATTTTTCCACATATTTAAGAAATAGTTTAGGCTTTTATCACTACTCAAGAATGCCCTTGATGAATCAGGCTTCCAGCCTCTTCCTCTGCCATTTTTATTGTGTATTTTCTTTTTTTTTTTTTTTAAGATTTTATTTATTTATTTGACAGAGAGAGACACAGCGAGAGAGGGAACAGAAGCAGGGGGAATGGGAGTGGGGGAGGGAGAAGCAGGCCTCCCGTCAAGCAGGGAGCCCGATGTGGGGCTTGATCCCAGGACCCCGGGATCATGACCTGAACCGAAGGCAGACGCTCAACAACTGAGCCACCCAGGCGCCCGTGTATTTTCTTTTTCTTTCTTTCTTTCTTTCTTTCTTTCTTTTCTTTCTTTCTTTCTTTCTTTCTTTCTTTCTTTCTTTCTTTCTTT